TATTAGTATTAGTATTAGTATTAGTATTAGTATTAGTATTAGTATTAGTATTAGTATTAGTATTAGTATTAGTATTAGTATTAGTATTAGTATTAATATTAGTATTAGTATTAGTATTAGTATTAGTATTAGTATTAGTATTGATATCAATATTATCAATATTATCAATTTTTTGGTTCTGGGTGGATTTTTTACTATCAATTTGAGAGGAAATTTCAATTATTTTTAGTACAATGTCATTTTTCTTGTCATCTTGTTTATCATTTTGTTTATCATTTTGAGCAATATTATCAATTTGAGCAATATTACCAATTTGATCTTGAGGATCAGATGTTTGAAGTTGATTAGAATTTGGTTGTTTTATATTTAGATTGATTGTCATTGTGATATCCTTTGTTTGGCTATGGATATCTGTTTTTAGTTTTACATTATCAGAAATATTTGGATTTGTATTGTTTGCATTATCTAGATCAAGATTGACATGCTCTTGAATAATTTGATTATCAGAAATTTTTGAATTGAAATCTTTCAAATTGTCTGTTAATAGAGTATTCAATTTTTGAAAATTATCAGATAAATTCAGATTAATAGATTGAAAAGATTCGTTAATTAGTTTATCTTTTTGTTCGATTGAATCATTTAAATTTTTAATCTGAAGATTTAAATAATCTATAGTGTTTTGTCTTTTATGAATGTCAACAATGTAGTATAAATTTAGCAATTCTAAAAACTGGTTAAATTGCAAGATTTTATCATTGTTGGAACAATTTTCTTTAAAAAAATTTTGGATTTGAATTGTTCTATTATTAATGGATTCAGATAAGAGCAATGGAAAATTAACAGTATTTTTGAGGCTCTCGATTGCATGTTTAATGGGATTGAAATTATCAGGTTTATTACTGGTATCATTACTAGTATTACCATTACTATTACTAGTATTACCATTACTATTACTAGTATTACTAGTACTGGTATTGGTATTAGTATTAGTATTGTTATTTATTTGATCGGGTTTATTGACATTATTGATATTATTGGTGTTGTTGGTATTATTGGTATTATTGTCACTGCTTACAGTACCAGTGTTAACATTAATACTGGAAGAGCTAAAATTGCGCTGAATTTTCAGCTGAGTATTTTGGAACTTGAGATTTTGCTGAGTAGAAGTGTCAGAATTGTTATTAATTGGACTGAAGCTGGAAGTCTGATGAATAGGTGATTTCTGAATTGGGGTATGAGAACTAATCGAATTAGACACCAAATTGATGTTAGCATTGCTGTTGTTTGCAAAAGGGTTGATGTTATTGAAATTTTGAGTGAATTGGTTGGCATTACCCAAAAGTGGCAGTGGATTTTGCTGTTGCTGTTGCTGAAGCTTTTGGATTTGATTGCTATGCTGTTTTTGGTGCAACTTTTGAACCTGTTGGTACTGCTGAAACTGAATCGCCTTGAGTTGTTGCTGTGTTTGATAATTGTGTGGAAAGAACTGTTGCTGTTGCAGTTTTTGTTGCAAGTCCTGGTTCAGCAGATATCCTGCAAACAAGTTACTGGTTTTGTTCTGGATGACGTTCTGGTTGTTGTTGTTCATGGTGCTTCTGCTGCCGGAGAAGAAACTTCTGCAAACTCCACCAAAAAATACTCTCATCGAAAACGCGCGCCTTCCCAACACAGAAACTTCTGCTTTGGGCCAACCCCATAGGGAAACAACCCGATTCAGCACCTGCTCCTTTAGGCAGTCCCAAAAAGGCAGTCCTGGGGAAAGACAACTGTTCTGATTCGCTTTGCTTCTTCTGCTGCTTCTGCTGCTGCTTCTTTTTCTTCTTCTTTTTCTTGTTCTTCTGCTGCTGCTGTGGTTGAAGTCTGTGTGAATTATCCAGCCCATCGCTCCAAAAAGACACTCTGTAACGTCTCTCAGAACACTCTCAAAGAGCTGTTCTTCTCCAGTGTCTGCTTTGTCTTCTACCAGTTCACCATGGGCGCTTCTTATGATCCTCCAACAACTGGAAATGCTGCTTCTCTCATTGATCCTTCTCCAGAACCTCTGCTTGATTCCAAGAACAACTTGAAGATTCCTCCCTTGAACTCAAATCTCATTTTACAGCCAATTGAGAACATCTCTGGCCTTGGGCACAGCGACACATTCAGCTCTCAATTGCATTCGACAAACCTTGGTCTTGGTCTTGATCTCACTGGAAATATCAACAACAATTCTCTAACTGATCGCAACGACGATGAAAACCAGAGGAAAATAAGACATCGCCATCAACAGTCGATCCAAATGTTCCAATCTTCCCAATCTCCCATCTCTTCCGAACATCCAAAGCTAAGTGTAATACCTGATGAAAATTTTTTGTTATCCTCGCCATTGGAAAATAACACTATAATCGATCCAAACAACATCCAGCAAAATGTTTCCAATTTTAATCACAATTTCCAATTTGATTATAAAAATAACACCAATAATGATGATAACTATAATGTTTATAGTAATTTGCTCTCAATTGACCCCATAACAATTGTCATCACTGAATGCATGCGTATTTCTTCAGAAATGAGAAAACAATCAAGATTCTCGCAAACCAGTGTAGCTGCTATCCTTGGAACATCTTCAATTACAACTGGTTTATCTACTACAATCAAATTATTTAATGACGATAACTCAAATTTTAATAAATCAAACAATAAAAAAAATATTAATAACAATAACAATAATAATAATAATAAATTTGCAAACAACAGCACTGATAATATAAGTAGTATAAATAATAAATTTAAATCAATGAGAGAAATTAAATCAATGAGAGAAATTAAATCAAACTCAAGTTTGAAATCTTCCTCAAATGACTCAAATTTAAATGATTTAACTAACAATAATAAAACCAATAACAATAATGATAATAATAATAATAATAAACAGGACAGTTTAAACAACTCAGATAACTCAATCAATTTTTCCAATAACAACAACATTAATACCAACATCAATACCAATTCTAATACTGCCACAAATTTTCAAACAAACAACCCTTTATTATCTGGTTTTCTTCAATTAAGATCAATGCTACTAAACATCTCTTCAATTAATCAAGTAGATCCCTTGACTTTATTACAACCTTTTTTACTCCTAATAAAATCTCCTACAACATCTGCTCATATAACTTTGCTTGCTTTGAACTCCTTATCTAAATTTATCAATTATAACATAATATCAATTAATAACATTTTGATTAATAACGACATCAACATAATCTCAGAAATCTTATCCTCTTTAACTCACTGCAAATTTGAAGCAAATGACCAAACTTTCGATGACACTGTTTTATTAAAAGTCTTGAATTTATTGCAAATCATTCTATCTCAAATTTTTAACATCAACCACTTCAATTTAAACTTTCAAAAATTTTCAAATGGTTTAATCTTAGAAATCATCCAAACTTGTCTAAATTTAGCTTGTAATAAAAGAAGAAATGAAATATTAAGAAAAAATTCGGAACAGTTAATCTTTGATTTGAATTTCAAACTACTACAATTTCTTAAATTTAAAACAATCGATTCTTTAAATTTTTTCCAATTAAACTCAAATTCAAATTCATATCCAAATTCAAATTCAAATTCAAATGACTTGTCTTTGTTAACTAAAAATCTCAACAACTTATATATAGATGATATCAATTCAAATGTCCTAAATAATGATGAACTATATGACACACCTCTAAACTATTTATGCGTCAAAGATTATTTATCCATTTTAATCTCTATTCTATCTCCCCAAAACAGATATTACCACACTGAATCAACCAAAATCTTGGCTATTAATATCATAAATTTTTCTTTAGAAACTTTTGGTAATTTTTTCATCTTTTATAAAAATACTCTATTTCAATTGTTGAGAAATCCTTTATCTAAAAATCTTTTAATGATAATCTTAAACCCAGAAAGCACCCTACCAATCTTATCCTCCGCATTAAACTGCTTTATAAATCTTATAATTATTCTCGGTGATCATTTAAATTCTCAAATCGAATTTGCTTTAGAAAACATTCTCAAATCAATTGTACCCGTTGACTATTATCTTCAATCCGATTCGACTGAATTCAGAAATGAAAACACTTCATCTTTAAAACAAAACATCTTGAAGGAAAATCTTGAATCATCAAGATCAAATACTCCAAGTCAAATTGCTAACATCAAATTTAATAAAGCCGCTTTCAATTCTAGATTGCCAATATCAAAAGAATTGATAATAGAATCTATAAGTCTATTATGGATAAGATCTCATTTTTTTTTCTTAAATTTATTCATCAAATACGATTGTAAAAAAATTTCTTCTGTCAACTTATCCTACAATCTACTAATGTTTTTAAATTCCCTAAGTTTTTCAAATTCTTCTATTTTCACAACTAACTCAGTTCCCCCAATATGTCTTGATGGATTGTGTAAATATATTGAGGGCATAGGTATAAGAATCAAATATTTAAAGTCAAATAATATAAAATTTCAAGATTTTTCAAATGGAAATTTCAAAGTTGACAAAAATTCCCCTTCCTATAAAACTTCAAACAATTTACTACACACAAAATCACTAAAAGACGAATTTTTAAATTGTATTAAAATATTCAACACTAAAGGTATTAAAAAGGGATTACCTTTGCTAGAAGAAAAAAGGATTTTTTTTCACCCCAATGATTCTACTGAAGTTCGAAATAAAAAAATTGCTAGATTTTTCTATTTAAATTCAAATTATATTGATAAAAAGAGCATTGGTGATTATATTTCTAAAAGGCAAAACACTGGCATATTAAGAGAATTTTTATTTATGTTTGATTTCACCGGTTTAAGAGTTGATGAAGGTTTAAGAATTATCTTAAGAAAATTCAGACTACCTGGTGAATCCCAGCAAATAGAAAAGATTGTTGAACAATTTGCAGAAAAATATGTTCAAGACCAAAATCATCAACAAATTAATGAGAAATCATCAGATGAAAAGAACCAAGAAACCAAACCTGTTTCTGATGAAATAGTCACTCCAAACAGTGATACCGTATTTGTGTTAAGTTATGCAATTATTTTATTGAATACCGATTTACATTCTCCAAAAGTCAAAGAACATATGACCCTTCTCCAATTTAAAAGAAATCTTAGAGGCACTTATAATGGCGGAGACTTCCCAGAATGGTATTTGGAAGCTATTTACAATGACATTCAATCTGAAGAAATTATATTGCCCGAAGAACATGTTGGAAGCAGTAAATGGTTTGACGCTTCATGGGCAGAATTGATGAATAGCGCTAAATATGATGAAGACGAATTTTATTTAAATGAGTATCTAATTGAAGAGGACGACAACAGTTTCAAAAACAACATTACAAATGGAGATATCAATAACTTATTTTCCTCGGAAGATAACTTTCCTTTACTTATTCAGTTTGATAAATTATTATTTGAATCTGTTTGTGAAAATTTAATCAATACATTTGTTACAATTTTCAAAGAAGCTCATGATGACCAAGTAATAAATAAAATGATGGCTATGATTGACAAGTGTGCCACAATAGCCAATTATTTTGGATTGTATCATGTGGTGGATAATATACTACTTGCTCTTGGCGATTTAACATTGTTGATAGATATTAATGATGATGATTTGGACCAGAGTTCTCCCTCAAATGAGAAGAATGTCATTGCAAGGGATGTTTATTATGAGTATGTAAGAGAAGAAGCTTCAGGAAGTCATATCCCAGTAACTCAAATAAGGATTGAAACTGATGAAGAAGAGATTGTTGAAACCGAACTTCCCAGGGATGAGGATACGATGTACAGCGAAGATGATGCTGACTTGAACCCATTCAATAATGTTAAAACTGAGAAGAGAAAAAAAATTGATGTGATTACGGTTAGCGATATTGCCGTATCGTTTGGAAAGAATTACAAGGCTCAATTATCTACTGTTGTGCTTTTTAGAATTTTGAAATCTTGTAACTATAATAGTTTAGTTCATTCATGGAAGTGTTTTTTAAAAATTTTGTTAAAATTGTTTCAGTATTCTCTTATCAATCCAAATAAAATATTTCCCAGATTTCAAAGAAGTTTGGGTTTAAATCAGTTACCATCAGCAAAACCACAATACCTAATAAAGAAATCCTTGAATAAACTGGAACCTGATCTTGGTAAAGATATCAGTTTGTTTGGTACCATTTCATCTATCTTGAGAGGTTATTCAGACGAACCGCCTGAACCCACAAATGAAGAAATAGATTTAACATTATCAACAATGGATTGTATTAATTCAAGTAATATTAATTTAATTATTAGTAATATACTTAAGTTAGACAAAGAAAATTTAAATCAATTTATAAAAACATTTTTTGTACTAATTCCAAACTTTTCAAAAAAAAATGAAAGATACTATGAAAGTGAAGTATTATTTATAATCGAACTAAGTGTTTGTTTTTGTTTGTTACAGGAAAAAATCAATAAAGATGTATTGTTATTAATTGTTGAAAAAATTGATGAGATTTTTAAAACCAATGAAAATAATGAAAAGACTATTCTTAGCCAGTCTTCCCTATTGAGATTGTTGACTTATCAATGTATATTATATAATAACTCTAATGGTTTTACAACAGAATTTATTCCTTACTTGAAAAGCTCTTTAGAAAAACTATCCGATGTGGATTCAGAGATTCTTAAAAGTGAGGGATATCAGATTTTGAAACCACTAAAATCACTAATCTTTACTTTATCAAAGTCGAATTTGAGTCAAGTCAAAAGTGAAGAACAGGAATTATTTTTAGGTGCTTTGATAAATAATGAAAATTATTGGAGAGTTTTGAGAACGTTTGCATCTTCCATAAAATATGTCAAGAATATTTACAAATTTACAGAAGAATTGTTTAAAAATTATAATGATTGTATTTTACCAGATAATTTTATTTTTCTCTTAGGTTTATTAGACGAAATCTCGTCAAAGGGATCTCTAGGAGCCAAATACGAACAAGATTATGAGGTTGCAGTTTTAAATAATCCTAAAAATGTTCCAGAAAATAAAAATCCCTATGAAGAAGTAATCAACATCTCTATTCAGTCAATTGAACTAACGGTTTCGTTATCAACATATATCAAGAGAGATGTGTTTGTGAAATTTCAGGAAGACACTCGGTTCTGTTTATGGTATTCGATAATTCAAGCAGTTTCTCACCAAGCGGAAAATCCTTGCAGAAAAATTAGAAATTTTGGTATTAATACGTTATCAAATATTCTACTTTCATTGGATATTAGAGATAAAAAATTCATAACTTCTTTGGGTATTTTTAACTTTATACTATTTAAATGGTGTAACGATCTTATCAAGCCCGAAATTTCGTTAATGGATTTGACTGGGTTCAATAAATCCAAATTGGATCTGATATCATTGATTTGCAAGGTATTTCTTAAGCACTTTAATGAGGGTGTAATTGATGACACTACACCGTTAAACAAAAAAGAAGAGTCTGGTGAAAGTCAGACAGAATTGCGGTGCATATGGTTTGGAATATTAGATATATTTGAAAAATTGTTGATTGATGAAGAAAGACAAATCAAGCTTCTTATTAGACATAGCAATAAACACAATATCAATAGAAAGCCAAAAAATCGAATCATTAGAGAAGCTTCCGTGGAATTGTTAAGAAATTTGCTTCTTGTAATGGATATTAAAGATAACGATTATTCTTGGAAAAAGATAGACTCGATGTTTTCTGGTTTAAAGGAAGATTTTTATAGGTAATTATTGTAATTGTTTTTCTCTATTTTTTTTTTTGATAATTTTGATTTTATAGTTAGCCGATTGGATGGCTCACGCCTAATTATGTATTATTAGATGTCCATATTTTTGAATTCTTTCAAAACATTACTAGCTTAGCAATATCAACACCAATATTTTTCCCACTCTAGGGACAAACCATAAAGAAATTGCTTTTTATGCGATAGACGAGTTTTGTTCTAAAAATCATTTTCAAAGATCGAGGTTGTTTAACCATCAACAAATCATATGGTTTAGTGGGAAATAAAGAAGAACTTCTGGATTTTTTTGAACTACATTTTCAAATGAATTGTAAAATATCGTTATTTATGTACTAAAATTTGCCTTGATTTTACAAGTTATATCAGGAATTCCGTAATACATCAGAAACAGCCTTTTCAACTTTCAACTTAGCTTGTTGTTTTGAAGTAAATTCCTTCACTTTTCACTTGAAAAGCTATTTTAGCGCCAGATAATCCAAAGACCTGAATTACTCTGTTTGTCGAGATCTACCAATAAAGTTGGAATTGCTGAATAAAACACTGAATTGCAACAGTCGCACTCTGGATGTTTGACTAACCAGATTTTTATTTAGTTGTGTTTAGTTTCAATTGGATTGAAACAAGATAGAACATAACGAACAGACAAAAGGCTGAAGATAATTCTTTCTTCTGATGTCTTGATGGAAAGCATTATATTTGCCTCTCAATTGGGTCAGTTTCCGTTTTTGGAATTTCGGTGGTGTGTTTTCAGTCCACAAGCAAAACAACCAGATATTTCTGTATCTTGTGAAAAGACAGAAAATGCACTGGCTCTCAAGAACGAGCATTGGGTTTGAATAACTCAGAGAGTGTTTTTGTTGAAAGGTGTTTGAATCATTTATAACTGTTTTAAAATTGCAGCGCTATCTAAAAAATTTTGAACTCGTTTCTTCTGACTTCTTATCAATCTACTTCAGAGTTACTTCAAACAACAATTATTACTATGCTATAAAGCTGAAAGCTGGAATTGTTTAGAAGTTTGTTTGTTTCTTCAAATCCAGTACTTTATTTGTTTTTTTTAATCCACAAAATGGTTGGGTGTCACAAAGGCAATAGCTGTTATGTTACCTTTGTGTTTCAAACCGATCTGAAAAAAATTAATTTGAGATTTTTTTTCTTTTAAAAGATCAACTTCGAAATTTTTCTTCAAGTTTTTATTAATTTTTTTATTATATTTTTATCGTTTCATCAGGAAAACACCTAAAAAATATCTTAATCTGTTTTAGTTTTTAACAGTAAAAAATAGAAAGTTTGACGAATATAAATCTCAATCTGACTAAAATCACTGGTAATAGTTGTCATTAATAGTATTGATTATCCTGCTGATACCAAATTTGACTGAAGTTTGATTATTTCTTGAAAAAGAAGAACCAAATTCAATCAATTGCAATTACTGTTAACAATTCTGTTGGTTAATCGAACACTCTTAATAATTATAAAAATTATTACATTGAAAAGTTTTTAAAAAACAAAAAAAAAATATTCGTATATTATAAACAAAATATTGAATTCAAAATGAGTAGAAATACTGTTGCTGTTAAGTCAAGTTCAGCTTTAGACTCCAATCCAAATACAAATACAAATACAACTTCCCTAGCTGTGAAGAAAAACAGAGGTGTATTATCTTCAATTTCGGTTAACACTTATTCAAACAACAATAACCGTTTAAACAAAAGCTATAAAGGGAGAGGAAAAGAAAATATTGATATAATTAGCTGTTTCAAATCCTCAAATGCTCCCATGTTAACTCAATCACTTCAAAAATCTCTCAATAAACCAGATTCTAAAAATAAACAAATCAGTACCAAACATCAAAACCAAAATCACATTCAAAATCAAATTCAAAAGAAGGATTCAAATGCAAACAAGAAAACCAAAATAGATGATTCTCAAACTGAAGGTTCAGTTTCTTCTGAGGGAATCACAGAAATTGTATCTCAACTTAACACTGATTCTCAAGAAATCAATACTACTTCTAGAAATGGTTCCAACAATTTTGGCAATATTTTCAATGATTGTCCTCAACAAACTGCTTTATACGTTGGCGATTTAGATGAAAACGTTACTGAAAAGTTATTATTTGATGTTTTCTCAAAACATGCAGCCGTCACTTCAGTTAAAATTTGTTTTGATTCAAATAATAAAAAATCTTTAGGTTATGGTTATGTTAATTTTATCAACTCTGATGAAGCCAGCATCGCAAAGGAAAAGTTAAATTACACCCATTTATTAAATAAGGAAATTAGAATAATGGAGTCGATGAGGCATTCCTTTCAAAATATGAAAGGATCGAATGTTTATTTCAAAAACCTTCCAGAAGTATTATCAACAAGAGAATTTTATGAAATTTTTAAACCATTTGGTGAAATCTTATCATGTAAAGTGGAACATTCAAAAAGTTATGGTTTTATTAATTTTCAAGATTTTAATGTTGCTCAAAGTGTTGTTGATAATTTTAATGGAAGCACTATAAAAGGTTCTAAATTATTTGTTGGTCTTCACACTCCAAAGGAAGTTAGAGAAAAAGAAAAAAAAGACACCATTAATCAAATTCCAACTATTTATGTAAGAAATTTGCCAATTGATATTAATGATGATCAACTCAAATCTCTTTTTGGTAAATTTGGTGCAATCACAAGCACTTTTGTGAAACCTGTTTTTAAATTAAAAGCGAGCTGGGCTTTTGTAACTTTTAAGTCTCATAAAAGTGTTCTTGCTGCTATTAATTTTTTAAACGACACTGAGTATGAAGGTAAAAGAATAACTTGTATGAAGGCGTTAAATAAAAACGAAAAATATGGAAATCGCATCAGCGCCCAATTTCCTCCACCAAATCCATCAATTCTATTTTTCAGTAATCTTCCTGCTACTGTTAATCAAACTTATTTGAGTCTTCTTTGTTCCCAATTTGGAAAAGTCAAAAAGGTTTTGATGCCGATAGATGAAAATTTTAACACAATAGGCATTGCATTTGTTCAAATGCAAAATGAAAAGCAAGTGAAAACTATTGTTAAAAATTTGAATAGAAAACTAATTAGTGATCAAGAGATTTCGATTTCCTTTTGGACCGAAAATAGTAAAAGAAATCAACTAGAATCCCAAAACTATAAACCAAATCTTTCTAGAATTAATATTTTTAACGATAATAGAAAGACTGTTGAAACCAAACAGCCATTTCATTTAAACTCAACTCTCCCTGTGAACCTCCTTCATGAACCATGGAATAATCATTTTCAATATTACAGCTCTCCCCAATTTTTTATGTTACCAAATAAAAATCATCCTGTTTCGCTTCCTATGGGAATGGTTCCTGAGAATAATTATAATAAAAAAATGTTTAATCATAATGTTACTAATCAAAATAATTCAATAAATCATATTTCCCTAGCACAACCAACCCCTCCTCCACCAATTTTACAACCACTTAATTGTGCTCCAAGAGTTTTATTTCCAGGAATTTTAACTTTGAGTGAAGAGGAACAAGTTAAATATAATATTGCTGCTAAAAAGTATGAAGAAGAAATCAAAAATAAAATTTTAGAAAAGTTCATACTATTACTCAAAAATTCCAATATTAAGACAAATGATGTTGACATGAGCCTTGTTTTAGATCATGTTATGAAGTACTATTGGGATAATAAACTTGAATCATTGTCAAAATTTCTTGAGGAAGTTGAAAAAGATTATAACAAAGAGAAAGTATTACAAAAACAGGTTCTTCATTCTTTGAAAGCCTTAGGATTACAAGATAATTAACTTCAATTTGAATTAATATACTTTTACTAGAAAATATGCAGAAATAAAACGAAAAAACACACTCCAAAAACAAAAAAAAAAACACCACAAATCACAAGATAAAACATACACTCTTTCTTTGTATTCTTCTTGCTTTTCGAGTTATAACAACTTAATTTTTTGTCATTTAAATCACTTTTTCTTTTAGTTTAAAATTTTGTTTTTTTGTATTTTTTATACTTGCATTGATCCCTTTTTTTTTTTTTTTTGCCATTTAATAAAATTTAACTATTCTTTATTGCTTAAAAAAAATTGTAAGATACAAATGTACATTAGAAAGGAAAATAAAAAAATAAATTGATACAACATAAAGTTTCCAAAGAGCATGAATAAAAAAACCAGAACTTAAACAAAAAAATAGTATAAAAATGTTATAAAATAATTATTAGAATGATTGAGGTAGGTATCATCACTCCACATTGACATAATTAGCAGGAAATATACCCTCTTGACCATTGCACTCTCCAGCCCACCAATCATCGGTTGTTTCAGTCTTTTTGGTAATGTGTATCACATCGCCCTTTTTAAAACGCAAGTCACCATCCTGCTCACCCTTGAAGGTGTACAAAGCTGTAGCAGTATATCCAGGTTTAGAATTGGACTGCTTAGGAGGAGGTGGCGGTTGCCTATAGAAGGATTCATTATTCTTTGTAGAATTGTTCTCAGTATTCGATGATCTGGAGCGATTTCTATCGTAAACGTCATCTTCCCAAGAAGAAGTCGAAGTCTGTCTTTTTGATGAATTGTTGATAGAATTATTGTTATGACCTGTATGGGTATTACGGTGATTATCATCAGAATATCTGTCAAAATCGTCGTCAGAAGAATTATCATTGTTTCGAACGTAATTATCATAGTCGCGACGATGAGATGAATGATTGCTATTTCTTGAAAATCTGGTGGATATGTTCCTTGCGGAGTTTCTAAAACTGTTTCGAGGAGAAGACTCGTTGGAATCATTGGAGTAGCTTGGGATATCATTGTAATAATCGTCATCTCCATTGGAATTGTAATTGAAGTTCAGGGCTGTTGAAAAGGCTCTTGAATCCAAGATTCTCATCAAAGGTTCACAAGCAGGAGGAGGCTGGACTCTGCCACTCAAGATCATTTTGGAAGTGCAACCTGGACCATAAAATTTTCTGTTTGCATCTCTTCTTTCAAAAATGAGAGAACCCTCAAGAGATATTCCAGCAAATAGACCCTTTGTCTTGGAATAAGAGAAAATGGCAGCAACAGATTTCAAAGAAGCAGTTCCTGCAGCCTCGGCATTTCTGCCTATAGGACCAGCAGCAAGAGAGATGTTCCCACCCAAGGTCATGGAGCCAAATTGAGCAAACGTCTCAACAGCCTTTTTGGTGTTCAAAATAAAGACAAAGTCTGTTATCTCAGCACCAATTTGGCCTCCAACACCAGCACCGCCGGTAACGATGGCAGAAGGAGCAGACCAGGAGCCATCGGGCAATCTTGCGACAATGACACCGGAACCAACTCTTCCAGAGAACAAGAAGCCTGCTTTGAGGACAGTAATGATGGCCAACCCTTTGGCGTTTCTTAGGATATCGGGAGGAATAACATGGTCAGTTCCAAAGACCTGATTAGGTTTGATAAAAGAAGCTAGCACCTTTGCAGCTTTCAACGATTCGCTTTTCAAGCTTCGTGGAACAGGATTATTGAGACCCATTGACACAGTAACACTTGCAAGAGAAGATAGTCAGAATTGAAGAACAAGATGGTTATCAGCAGCAGCAGCACGAAACACAGGCAAATAGGAGAAGCACAAGAAGAAGAGCTGATCAAGGACATCTCGGCCCAAACTCAGTTCCTCCATCCGCTGCGCCACGGCAAAGCCCTTCCGCTTCCGGACTTCCGCTGCCGGACATTTCCAGCACCACGGTGTGTTCCGTGTCTGCAAGTTCCGTGATCCGGTAGAAGCCGCGGATTGCGCCAGATCCGTGCCAAACGAGTCCTTTGATTTTTGAAGCAAAACTCTTCTCTTCTCCTGTTCTACACCACAGACAATTACCAGCCAGAACCAACTCAAACCACATCAACAAGCTTACTGTTTACCAGGACCAGGTCAAAGTCAGCTAAACTTGGACTTCTCAACTCTAATTTCACCAGGCAAAGAACCATTTTACACTCAACAAGACAACAGATACACTTATTGACTAAACAAAACAGGTCAAAAGCTAGCAGCTTCTGTATTCTTCTTGATTCAATTGCAAATTACAAACTAGCAAGTTGTTTTAATAATTATTATTATTAACCAAAATAATAATATCGCTTACCACCTATTCTTTTGTTGTTTGTTTGCAATTCTAGCTTTACAATCCTAAATTTAATTATTATTTTTTACTTCTCTTCACTTACACACAACCACTCACTTAATATAAGTACCATTGAAAAATTCCTGTGTTTCTTATTTCTATCTCAATCCAATATTTAGCTTGTCTATCAGAAACAGTCTCCATTGACCTTCTTATTTAAAAATTTTTCATTCACTATTTTCTATTAAATTTTTTAAAGAAAAAAAAAAAATACCCTTTTATTTCAATCCTTTGTTGTTTCTAGTCATTTTCAGATGGCTTATGAATTCGTTGGCTACCAAGTCGAATTGCTACTACATGACAGTTCGAAAATAAGAGGTTATATCAAAGATGTTGTTGATAGAACAATTACCATAATCAATGTTGAATTCGTAAATACCGGGAAAAAATTAAATTCTTATTCAATCTCTGGTAATTTAATTAATGACTTGTATATTTTAAATTTACCCAAAAATCTATCCTCAAATTCTATTACCATTAATACTAACACCAATACCACCAATAACAAATTACAAACTGGAACCACAATAAAAAAATCTAAAAAATCTAAAAATGATCCTGTTCTATTTGTTGACGATGCTATAATTTTTGCAAGCTCTTCAAAATCAAAATCAAGAGACAATTCTCCAAGTATACCTTTAAAAAATAGAAAACTAAATAACAACAATAACAACCAGGATGATCCAGTTTGGGATGACGATATAACTAAAATTAAACAATCTTCTGATTTTGATTTTCAAAGTAATTTAGCTTTATTTGATAAAAAAAATGTCTTTCAAAAATTAAAATCAATGGATAATATTCAATATTCTAAAAGATTAGTTGGTCATAATAAAGTTGACTCTTTAAAATCCTTTAATTCAAACTCAATTCAAAATTTAGATCAAAACCAAAATGCAAATCAAAACCAAAACCAAAACCAAAATGCAAATCAAAATGCAAATCAAAATGGTTTTCAAATTGAAAATCAAAACGGATTTCAAAACTTTCTTCATAAATCAAACTATGATAATAACGAAATGGTTCTAGATTTGAAAAGCGATAATTGGGATACTTCAACCAACGATGATTTTGCAAATAATGATCTTTATGATTCTCAATTATCTTCAAATCCTTCTAATATGATTTACAACATTACTACTATCAAAGAAAACGAAATTACTTCTGATTTAAACAATTCCTATACATATAAAAACACACCTCAAATCATTAAAAATAATAAAATTGATAAAATTGATAAAATTGATAAAATTGATAAAATTGACAAAATCGACAAAATCGACAAAATTGATAAAAATTCAAACCAAATTCAAAAGGATAATTTAAGCTTTAAATTACAAAATTCAAACACCATCATACCCTTAATTTCTCAAGTTCATTTAATTGAAATTGAAAGACTCGCTTACCAAGAATTTAAAATAAATCCAAGCTTGTTTGCTGAAAATTGTGCTGTCAATTTATCAAAATTAATCATTCAATTACTCGGAGGTTCCCCAAGAATTGTCAATAATCACAATAAACCACCTTTAATTTTAATTGTAGTTGGTAACAATAAAGCCGGTTCAAGGGGTTTGGCTGCTGGAAGACACTTGACTAATCATGGTGTTAGAGTAATTGCCTATATTTTAACAAGAAAAACAAATTCTAACTTAACCAATGCAAATTCAATTAATCTCAATAATGACCAACATTCAATTGATGATTATTTCGATCTCAATGACGATCTAGATTCTTCTGTTAAATATCAATTAAAACTATTCCATTCTTACGGTGGTAAAATAATTGATAATTTCAAAATTTTGAAAAAATTTATTCAAAATCTAGATTCTCCAATTGAATTAATATTAGATTCCTTACAAGGCTATGAATCAAATTTGTCTGACTTGTGGGATGAAAATGAGTTAAAAAATTCTTTACAAATAATTAAATGGTGCAACAAATTGTCAAGTAAAGTTGGTATTATGTCTCTTGATATCCCTTCAGGCATAGATGCTGGCTCTGGCCAGTTTTCTCCAATTTTTAACTCCGGAAATCACAATGTTCCTGCTTCTAATGTCTCTGTCTCATCTGAATATAGTTTTATGGATTCATTAGTATCCGAAAATGATGATTTAGGAAATGACTATAATCGCAATTCAAATGTATTGAACATTAAAATGAACTCTAAATGGATTGTCTCCCTTGGTTTACCTTTGATTTCATTATTACATAGCTACAAGTCCGGACTTATTCAGCCTGGTGATTGGATCCATTATTTGATTGACATTGGTATTCCTCACAAGATTTTCACAAAAAGAAGTTATTTAAGAAAATTTGACAGAAACCTATTTCTTGGTGAAGAGACTATTAAAACTTTAGAAATCTCTGATTAGATGGTTTTTGATCTATTTTTATGATGCCTAGATTTATTTTATTAATTGTCATTTATACTTTTTTTTTTAACTTTATTGTTCATTTGATTTTTATCTTGCTTTTTCTTCCTGTATTAATATGATTCCTTTTATTATGTTTTTTACAAATATTCATACTAATTTTATCATTTTAGTTTGTGTTTTTTTTATTCTTTTGGTTATTTTTTGTTCGTTTCTGTTTAAATAATTTAATGAAAAAGTATTAATAAAAACATAAATTTAAAAATGATTAATGATTCCTTTGTGAGTGAAACAAAAAAAAAAACTAAAATAAAAATAAAAATATAAAAAAAGTTATATGATGACTATAAACAGCAAAAGTAAATAAAAAAAAAAACAAGAAAAAAACAACTAGGGATTCTGTTGTTGTTGTCTTTTTAATTCACCAATATAATTAATTGCTGAGCCCGCTTTAAAAAACTCAACTTGATCTTCAGACATTGTATGTTTACAATCAATTATAAATGTCTCACCATTTCTTTTAGTTATTTTAACTTGAACTATTCCATTGTTATCCCCCTTTTTATCCAACATATCTGCCAAGTCAAGAGTTTCTAATACATCGCCACTAGAAACTTTGTCATAATCGTTTTCATCTTTAAATGTTAATGGTAACATACCCTGTTTTTTCAAATTTGTTTCGTGAATTCTGGCAAAAGACTTGACTAGTATTATTCTGCCACCTAGAAATCTTGGAGACAAAGCAGCATGTTCTCTAGCAGAACCTTCACCATAATTGTGTTCACCAATAACACACCAAGGTATTGCATCTTCTTTCCATTTAATCATCAATTCAGGAATTGAATAATCTTTGCCATCTAAATCATAGGCTTTGTTAACTTCGCCGGTTTCTTTATTTACGGCACCGATTAAAGTGTTGTTTGAAATATTTTCTAAATGACCTTTATATTTGAGCCAGACACCAGCAGCAGAAATATGATCAGTAGTACATTTACCCTCAATTTTTAGTAGAATTGTTGTTTTCAATTCTTTTCCATTCCATTTATCAAAAGGGGTTAACAATTGTAATCTATCAGACTCAGGGGAAACCAAAACATCAACATTAGGATTTGATTTTGGCTCGGCGACTGGATAAAAGTCTTCATTACCTCTAATGAAACCTCTTTGAGGTAAATCAATACCTATTGGGTCACTAAATTTAAATTGTTTTCCATCTTGAGTTTGAATAGAGTCTTTTCTTGGGTCGAAATCCATTTTTCCTGAATAAATTGCAGCAGTAACAATTTCAGGTGAGGTCAAGAAGTTCATTGTATTTCTATTTCCATCGTTTCTAGCTTTGAAGTTTCTGTTGAAAGAGGTAAAAATTGAATTTGTTTGGGTAGAAGTTTTTGGAATATCTTCTCTGTTCCATTGACCAATACATGGACCACAGGCATTTGCTAATACTATAGCCCCATTGTTTTTAAATAAATCAATCAAGCCATCTCTTTGCAAAGTTGCTCTTATTTTTTCAGAACCTGGGGTAATGAAAAAGGGGATTTTAGGTTTCAAACCGGCATCAGAAGCCTGAGTAATTAATGAGGCTACTCTAGTCATATCTTGATAGGAAGAATTTGTGCAAGAGCCAATTAAACCAGCAGAGACAGTTTCAGGCCATTTGTTTTGTTTGGTTACTTCGCCAAATTTGCTGATTGGGGTTGATAAATCAGGAGTAAAGGGGCCATTTATATGGGGTTCTAGCTCAGATAAATTGAGTTCGATAACTTTGTCATATTTAGCATTTTCATCTGATTTCAAGAAACCATAGTGTTTGTTTACTTGAGAAGCAAGGTGTGCAATTGGCTCTCTTCCAGTTGCAACAAGATAGTTGTAATGAGCAACATCTTGGTAGGGAAAAATTGAAGTAGTAGCACCAACTTCGGCCCCCATATTACAAATGGTTGCCATACCAGTACATGATAGAGACTTGAGACCCTCACCAAAATATTCTATTATGTGATTGGTACCACCTCTGACGGTTAAAACTCCAGCCAAATGAGTGATAATGTCCTTTGGAGAAGCCCAACCATTGAGCTTGCCGGTCAACTTAACACCAAGTATCTTTGGAGCCTTTAATTCCCAGGGAGTACCAGTCAAGGCGTCAACAGCATCAGCACCACCAACACCAATTGCAATGGCGCCTAAACCACCGGCATTGGGAGTATGAGAATCAGTTCCTAACATCATTAGACCTGGAGTCGAGAAATTTTCCAAAACAATTTGATGAATAATACCGGAACCTGGGCCCCAAAATTGAATACCATATTTTTCACCACAACTTTTTAAAAATTCAAAGACCTCTTTGTTGGTAGCAATAGAAGAAGCTAGATCAGTTTTGGCACCATCTTTTCCGACAATTAAATGGTCACAGTGGATCGAAGCAGGAATAGCAGTTTCGGGTAAACCACAGGTCATAAATTGCAATAAAGCCATTTGAGCAGAAGCATCTTGCATAGCAACTCTATCAGGGTTTAATTTTAAATACTGTTCACCTCTGATCGAGTTGATATTTCCATTAAAAGCGGATAAAGATTCTTCTGGGTTGACTAAATGAGAGTAAAGAATCTTTTCAGCTAAAGTTAAAGGAGTGTCATTCAATATTTTTCTAACATTATTCAAGTTAGAAATTAGCTTTTGGTATGGAGGAGTTCTTGATTTGAATTCCTGGGGAACTTCGAGCACTGGTGCAGAAGTAGCTAAAGATCTTCTTAATAAGGACTGCGATCTCAAGCCGATATTGGAGGTTCTTCTACAAGCAGATAGCATTTTGGGTGTATAAAAGTATCTCTTGAGTCTTGAGTGTGACTGTTTGTAGTGGAACTGGCGAGTCGTAACGATCTTGGTGATAATTTTACAAAAGCCTAAAGGAAGAAAATAAAAGAAAGGGTTTTTAAGTTCCAGTCATTATTAGTCATGGTGAAGAATTTGGATCAATTGGCTGAAAAATCCACTGAAAATCTCGCTTTCAAAGTCGAAAAGCCTGAAAAAAATAAAAAAAATCCGGTCTGGTCGGATGTTGAAGCACGTGAACAAGGAAGTCTACAACGCCACGGATGTCGAATCCGCAGAGACGGAAAATAACCACAAAACAGAAGTCGTTTATTTACAGCACAAGGATAGAAACTAGCTACAGCAGGATAACAGCAGGATATGGTGGTATCTCACAACCCGAGCCTGTTACTCGTCGTTTTTTGAGGGGCCAAAGGTTTGATGGTATCTCTTCGCTATCAACTCATTCAAGGTGTGGCCTTCTGGTCTTTGGATTCGGGCTTCGTAGGAGTAGTAAGATACAACCCCAACAAATATCGAGAAGATGGGATCAAGGGTTCTGCAGGCAAGCAAAGAGGGTGTTAGAAGGTTTTCCTGTAAAAGAGAGCTTGGAGTTCGCAAAATAACATACCTTGATAACATGTAAGGATATGGAGCCATGGTGATTGCACTGTCGAAAGCTGTGAATTGATAGCAATATCGAAACAGTGTTTTCTGAAATCGAAGCTTCATTTATTGCAGGAAATGGCCGGAAAACACCCTCTGGAGGGAATCGAACCCGGACCCCAAATCGGCTCTTCAAAACCATTTATTGAGTTGTAAATTTGGTATTTACAGTGGATGAATAAATAACTATCCAGGCTATATATAGATATAATACAGAAATACAGAAATACAGAATCTTTTCTACTTTTGGTCACTTATTTGGGCATTGATAAACTCACCAATGCTTTTCTCCAAATTTCTTGTAGCCTTATCAACCTCTTTGTCATTCTGCGAATTATTGTTGTGGCCATCTTCAATCTGGTCATTGCCAAACAAGTTCAGCATTTTTTGCCCAAACTCTCCAATAGAGGAGATATCAAATATCCAGCCTGCCCCGAATACCATCCAGGCAATAGAACTCGTCGTCATCATTGTTGAGTATGTGAGTGCTGCAATAGCATCGCTATGAGGTGACGATGGTAACGGTCTATGGTTTGCGTTAAACAAACTTGGAATATATCTTCTTGTTTGAATTCCACGAAATACAAAATGTGCTGAAAAAAACGTTGCGACTGCTGCTCCATAAAAAAATAGCATCTGTTTTCTTCTTCTCTGTTTATATTCAGCAGATGCGTCCTTCAACACATCCTTTGCAAAGTAGGCTTTAACGTATTCAGACATTTTCTCTGATATTCTCTGATATTCTCTGATATTCTCTGATATTCTTGTTTGTTGTAACCTATTCAATGGGGTCTTCTTCAGAGTTTTCTGAGATAAATCTGTTCGTCCAGTCACGTGACGTCGATAAACATCAAAGTATTAATTAATACACCTCATTCAATTGCAGTCTCATCTTCAAACACCAATATCACTGACCAATTGTGCCATATCTAGGTTTTTAACTAATTGACCTCTGGAGGTGTAGCCGGATTGATTAATTGCAATTTTTATAATGGTATGGTTGATATTTGTTGGCCCCTATTGCTCTATCCTCTTGATTCACCCATTCCAACATGGGACAGTGCAAAAGATGAAAAATTACTAACAACTTGACATTTTCAAAACATTGTCAATTTTATAAAAAGTCTGAACAAGCTTTTGATGCATCTTTAGATTTATTGAGAAGGCTAAACCCCAAAAATATTTCTGATAATTTGATTAAAATCTGTCGTATTGCTCCTGATTTATCCGAAGATTTATTATCATCCATCGACATCCCCTTGCAACTAAAAAAATGTCTAAAAACTGGTAAAGAATACTTAACCTGTGATTATAACAGAGATGGTGACTCCTATAGATCTCCTTGGTCCAATGTTTATTATCCAAAATTGCCCGCAGATATCGAAGAAGATGCTCCAAAACCTTCTTCTGAATTAAGAAAACTAGAAATTTTTGCCAATGAGTCCTTTGACATATATAGAGATTTATATTATGAAGGTGGTGTATCAAGTGTTTACCTTTGGGATCAAGATGAAGAAATCAACTCTTCAAATAATAATGGATTAATTGGAAGTTTTGCTGGTGCAATTCTATTGAAAAAAAAACTGGAAACTTCCTTGAGTTCTTGGGATAGTATTCATGTTGTTGAAGTCATTCCAAGCACTAATTCTGCCGTCTACAAATTAACCTCAACAATTATTTTAGAATTGCAAGATAATGATCCAGAAGAGGATTTCACCTTAAGTTTAAGTGGAAACTTGACAAGACAAACCGAAAAGGAAATCGCCATAACCGATAATGGTTCCCATATTGCTAACATCGGTTCATTTATTGAAGATGTTGAATCCAAATTACGAAATATGTTACAAGAAGTTTATTTTGGAAAGACTAAAGACATCATTGGTGATTTAAGATCCGTAAATAAATTATCTGATATTGAACTAGATAAACAAAGACAGTCAACCGTCATCAGAGGTATTCAAGGTTTGTAGAAAACTTATTCATAAATTGTTTCCTTAATTTTATAGTATTTTGGTTTTTTTTAATTTTTACATTTTATTATTTCCATTTCCATTTCCATTTCAATTAATAAATTAACCTCAGTTAGTGTTAGATCTTATGCTGAAATTGTAGACCGTTTGAGCTTGTAGAAAAAAAACGCGAAATATAACTTCTATTATATATCTATACTTTTTTTCTCCACTCTTTTATTTTCATCACTCTATCAAATTAACTGCTAAATTCGGGTTATAAGGGTTATAAATTCATAATGAGCATGTCCAATTCAAATATTCAATTGATTGAAAATAAAATAAATTCCAGTGAAAAAGAAGATGATATAATCTTAAATGTTTTGCCTTGCAGAATACAGTATAATGGATATACCAATGTCGATTTATGGACAGACACTGTTTCAACTTATAACAAAAATTCTACCAATGAAAACTCAGAGGAAAGAGGTAAATATGTTGGTTATTTTCGGGGACGAAAGCTTTTAGGTCAGTCTCTTGATGTCAATTCAAACAACGATAAAACAAACAATGAGATTGAAAGCTCTGAAAACACTAACAATTACAGCGCATTTATCGTTGAAAAATCGAATATTGACAACTCCTTGAATTTAAAAAATAAAATTAACGAGATAAGAATATGGGATCATGAGTCTTTTCCATCTAATTCTGCAAAGTATAATGATTATTATCTTGCAAATAACCAGTGGTGGAATATAAAAGAGTTGATTCAAGTAAGTAAACTCATCCATGAAGATTAGACGGATATCCGGATATTTCCGTTGCGCGGTTTGGGAAAACCGAGGAGATTTCGGTTGTTTCCAGTTGGATTCCAGAGACAAAAGTCGGAAATCAAATTCTTTTATCCAATAAAAACGCTGGAAAATGTCAGCGAAGTCAACTTTCCAAAAACGTCTTTATGTATGATCCATAAAATTATACTAAATTATACTAAATTACAATAAGCTATAATAAATCATCATAAATTACAATCAAGTTTTGAATCCAGAATTAAAATCAGTTATTCTCACTAAAAAGCTATAAAATGTTACATTAAAACACAGTCACTAACGCCAAATCCGTAAATTACTTTTTCAACATCTTTTCGTATCTTCAACCAGTCTGCTCTTCTTTGAACAAATTCGTAAATCTCTTCCTGTGTAAAAATACCATTAAACACTGTCAAATCACTTACTAGTTTTCCTATTGCTTTTGCATCGTCACTTGAAATTAAATAGATTTGACCTATGGTTTTCAACGCAACAAAATATGGTAAGACAGATTTTTGTTTCAATTTAGCAACAAAACTATAATACATATTCAAATCTGATATTAAGGTAATCGCTCCTTCAGTGCTTATTATTGATCTTTTAATGTTTTTGCAGATTAAATTAAAAAACCTTGTTGAAACTTCTTGTTGAAATACATCAATGGTTGATTTTTCTGCTGAGTTTATCAACAAATTACAATGATTAGATAATAAATTAGTAACTTTTTTAGCTACACCACTTGGTCCAATTCTTTGAATATAACCCATATTCAATCCTTTTAGTTTTGATAGTCCTTTATCGACTTCATCCATTTCTGATGCCAATTGAGGATTGAAGTCAGTTGGAAGTTGTTCATGTTCAAAAATAAATTGTATCTTGTCCATCAATATATTTATGCCTATGTTCAAGCCATCAGCAACGTAGTCATCTAACATTGACTCAAAGTTTTTCTTTTTTTTAAGTGTTGGAGAAAAAAAATCTTGATTCTTGCTAATAATATGTCTATTAATCAATTCTTCTTTATAAAAAATATCAACCATTTGTTGTATCAAATCTCCAATATTCACCAATTCTGTGAATATTACTAATGGTTCAACTGTATTTATTTTGATATTTCTAGACGTCATTGTCGAGTTTTCAGTAAGAGTAGTACCATTTGATGATAAAGAAGTATTAGATGCATTTCGGAGACCGTTGATTGTATATCTCTTGTTACGAGAATTTGCTGTTGATGAAGGCCTATTTTTTTTATTTGAGCCTAAACTGAATAAACTGTTTCGTTTTGAATAATTATCAACACTTGGATTTCCATGGTTATATAGACTGGAAGCATTTTCGGATACTTCATTTTCATTGGCTATTTCATCAGGTCTGTACGTTTTTAATCGATCAATTGCCTTATCAAACCCATTTTTTATATGTTTTTCACCGAGTATATTTACAATGTCAATAAATATTGTTTCAATTTCTTTTTTGCATGAGGATTCTAAATTTTCTTTATTTTTTATGAAGAATTCATTTTGTTTATCAGTAGCAGTATGCGAGTCAGTGTTAGGGGTATTATTTGTAACATTTTTTTCGATTTCAGTTTGTTCATTTAATCTTAGAAAAGTCAAGATTCTACTTATAGAAAATCTTGCATTATTTAAAATGTTTAATGATAAATCTAATGAGAAAAAGGATTTTATATTATCAAGTTTACTATTCATGAAAACCACTTTAGCTTCAAATTCAGTCACCAATTTTTTCTCTTCTTCTTCTTTTTTTTCTTCCTCTTCCTCTTTTTCTTCCTCTTTTTCGTTTGAGTTTTCTAATTTGTTTATTCCATGAATTTTTTTATCGTTATTTTCCAAGTTATTGACATTTTCTTTTGAATGATCATGGATATCGCCAAACTGAAATAAAGAATCAATTGGTTTAAAAATTTTCTTAAAATCTGTTATAAAATCTAGTTTGAATAAATTTTTCTGATCTTTTTCATTTTTATTTTGGTCTATTATGATCATTGTTTTCATTAAATTCATTTCCTTTTCCTTTTCTTGTAATTTGTTGATTTCATTCCAAATTTTAATGTTTTTTTCGTTGATTTTTTTAAAATAGAGGGATTCTTGTTTTAGATAAGATTTGATTGTGGATAAATAGTAGATGTTTATTAGTTTTTTAAGGATATTTTTAAAATTTTTGCCACCATTATTGGATTGATTAATGTTGTTGATAAATTTGAATAATTTATTGTATATTAAGGGAACAATGATTAAATATAAGGATTGGTCATTTGTTAAGAACTGAGTTTTAGTCGTAATTAATTTTGAGTCGGATAAGTTTTCATTGATGTTATCGTATTCAATTGATTTTTTGATGACTTTGTTGAAAAATTCTAGAATATGGTCTTGAATAATTTCTTCAGATAGTCTTAAAATAACTGGAATTTTATCATTGGAGAAAATTGAGTCAATTATTTCAATTTGGCTATTAAAAAAGTCTACCATTTGATTGATTATTTGATTTAGGTGAGAGATATTTAGTGAGAATTTTTCTTCGCCTTCATGTTGATAAAACATCAAGTTAACATTAGAGAGCAGAAATGGATTATTGGTAATGGAATTGTTATTAGTAAGAGATATGTTATCAGTATCGTTATCAAAATCCAATAAAATGGTATTTGAGTTTAGAGGATTCTTTTGTAGAAAGAAATTAATCAAGTTATTGTTGATTGATTGATTGTTAAGATTTAATAGGATTTGAGTATAGTATTTGACTTTATTTTTAAAATCTCTTTTATCATAGGCAATTTCAATTTCTCTCAAGCAGGCATTATCAAAGATTTCAATGATTGAGTTTAATTTATCAAAATTTAGATTGAAATTATTAGGATTTTGATTTTTTTCAAAGTTTGAAAAATTCAATAAAGAGATAAGCAAGATTGACTGATCGTTTGGGTTATTATAAATTTTGAAAGTATTTGAATTTGACAATTCTAAACTGGAATTGATGAGATCATTGTATAGAGTTATTAAGGATTTGTAAACCAAGATAAACTGTGATTTGGCTAATTTTGGATTGTAAACCATATTTAAAAAGGGTCTTTTCACGGACATGTTGATGTCATTGTTGCTAATAGTGTTAAGATTTGCATTATTGTTGTAATTATTGTAAATATTTATGGGATTCAATGAAAAACTTGAGTGGCCTGTTTTGTAGACTATGATATCTTTATTCAAGTTTTTAAAGTCATCAAAAGTTAGATGAGCATGATTTTGTTTATTTTTCAGAAACTGATCATCATCCCAAAGGTTTATGGATTGTAGGAGGGATATCCAGAAGGTGGAATTTTCATTGAAAATGTAGTTGTAGGTTGATTTGTTGATAAGACTGAAGGTTAGCAAATCAGCGAAGGACAAGTGAGGTATTATGGCATCAACTATGTTTGTGTGCAATTGGTTTTTGTCGTAGGTTGAATCGTTTATCTTGGAGGTGAGGAAGTTTGTGATGATCTTTGACTGGACTTGGTAGTGGCTGATGTTGTATCTTTTCAGTTTTTTGGCCATTGCAAAAGAGAGAGGTTGGTGGTGGGAAGTGGAGAGGTGTTGCAGCTGTCGATTATATGAACATATTAGCATCAATAGTGTCTGAGATGGCTCTTGAAGCGACACCAGAACAGTGTCAAAAGAACAAAACAATAAGAGGGCGGAATTGCAACGTCATTTTGTTTTGTCCCGGAGCGCAGTTCGAACCGAGCCCAAAAACGCAAAAGACTATCGCTACAGAGGCCTAGATGGCTTTGTCCTTGAAGCAGTTGATGTCGTAGATCATCCACCGGTACCAGAGATAGCCAGGAAGCACAGTGGTGGCATGCCAGAGAGCATGGGCGTCGACGAGGTCGTTGATGGGCGAAAAGTCAAACAACTCGAAGGACATGCCACACGAGACGCAGAGCACAAGAAAAATGGGTGTCAAGTGGAAGTAGTTCTCGCTGGTGAGTGTGTACCTGCTCAAGAGACTGATGTTTTTGGCGTGGCTGCTGTTGTCTTTCATGTTGCAGGATCTGACAAAGGATGTGATTGCAACGTGGAACCATTCGAAATACTGCACAACGCCGATGAAGATGTTGAACTTCATGTTATAACTGTAGCCCCACTTGATGGTCAATCGCAAGATGTGGCAGGAGTATATAAAGAGACAGAGACCAATGAAAAGAGCCCTTTTTTTTGAATTTTGAACCAAATGCAAATTGAAACATCTTGTTGTGACCGAATAAAAGCCAGACATGACAGTCGCGCCAGCAAAGAAGTAATCCAATGTTTCTGTGACATTCAAGTCTCTTATATGGAAAACAGTGCTGAAAAACCAAGCACATATTGATATTATTGCAGTGAATTTGTAGGTGTTTAGTAAAGTTATGATTTCATTGTTGTTCTTGTTGTTCTTGTTGTAACCATTGCCATGACTGCTTTTTAGTTTTTGAGCAATTGAAATGTTTTTTTTCAATATGTTGTAACCATAATAATGACTCATGAAATTCAAGATTGAAAAAACAGCAGAGGCTAGTTCCTGGCAGCCAAACAATCTTTTGAAATACCATTTTCCATGAAACTGGTGGATTTCTTGGTTTTTGGACTTTCTGACGAAGTTGATGATTTTTTGACATTGGTAGTCGCAGTTTGAGTTACAATCCCATAGCAATAATTTTAGATGAAGAGGGATAACTGGATCATCAAAATAATCTTTATTATAAAACCGATTTGATCTCTTGAGAGATTTGGTTGGTTTGATGTTATCACATGTCAATTGCTGGCAGGCTTGAACACATTGTTTGAATTCAGGCAATCGATCCCCGGGAGAAGCATTGACTACAATTGCAAACCAGGACAAAAGTAGAATGGGCAAGAGATGTTTCAATATCATTTCCAATGATAAAAAAGCAGAAACCCAACTGGATTTGTGGGTTTTCTGTTGTCATGTTAAAAGCTTGGAATATCAAAAACACGTGATGTTATCTCATCACCCGTCGAAAATGTTTGCTGTTCAATTCAATCGAAAATTTAAAGCTGAAATTGAGATGGAATTGAGATGGAATTGAATAGTCAAGAAGCTGCGATAAATCTACTGTTTGTGGAGCTCTATCAGCAAAAATAAAGATATTTATTGATGTTATTGATGTTATTGACGTTATTGATGCGTTCTCCATTATCTTAAGCAAAATATTAAGAAAAAAAATAAAGAAAAAGATTAAAGCTAAATAAAAATTGAGATTTAGTTGGAGATAAAGAATATTTTGATATTGAAATTGAAAATAAAATTGAAAATAAAAATAATAAAAATAATAAAGTAAGATAGATTAATAAATTGGAGATTAAATTTCGAAATTAAATTAAATTAAATTAAATTCAATCGGATAATTTAATAACTGTTATTTTTGATTAAATGTGGATAAAAAAATATTAAAAACCATGAATTTTAATATTTTTCTTTTGTAAACCAAGTTTATCAGTTAAAAACTCTTGAACTTTAGCACGTTGATCACCTTGTAATTGAATAACCTCACCTAATTCTTTGTCTTTAACAATATTACCATTACATGCAAAATCTTTCTTTAAAGCCTTTAAAATTCTTTTAAAGTCATAATCATCAGACAAACCTTGAACAGTAGTTAATGTTTTACGACCATTACGTTGTTGAATACGGATATGAATATAATTTGTTGATTGTGTATCGTCGTCACCAGTATCGGCGAAAGGGTCTAAAAAAACTAATGAGTTAGTATATCGATATCTTAAAATGACAACAAAACGCATGAGAAATGCCAAACCCAGGATTGATTATAAAGGGGATTTGAAATAAAACTTTAAGAGGTAAGAGCAGTAAAATTACATACCAAAAGCTTTGAGGTTTTCAATAGAAGTCATTCAATGAACCAGAATAAAAGAGGAAAAAACAGCAGTTTATATAAAGCCAAATCAAAGATTAAAAATATACGTTTTCTTTAGTTAAAAAAGAATATATGATTTTAATGACCTTTAAAAAATAAATGTAGCTGGCAAAAAAAGGGAGGAAATTAAAAGGAAAGGAAGAAGGAAGAAAAAAGAAAACAATTTATATCAACAAGATTAGTAAAGAAAAAAAACAGCAAAATTTACAGTGGCACAATAACCTGTTTAGAATTGAAGCGAAATTGCAGCGAAATTGGGCATTGGGAGATTTTTTGCGCGTTTGCCAGCGAAATCGCAGAGCTTTGTTGTGCAAAAGGAAAGTGTGCACATGACGTGGTCACGATACTCTGACTCATTGGATAATTACACGTAACTCTGTGTGCTTATGTAATACAGTCACATGCACAAGACCCAGGATGGTGGGTGTTTGCAACAATTAAAGCTGTAGGAGTGAAGCAAAACAAACAGAAAACAAATGCTGTCACATTTTAACTGGAATACAAGCAGCGCTTGAGAAATATGGGTGCAAAACGCTAATCATGTCTTCTCACATATTTTCCCTTTCAGTTTAGCTGTTTTTAACTGTTTTGCTCTCTTGGGCAGTCGTTTTTTTTTCTTTTGGTGGGACAGAGTATATTGCTTGTACAAAATATGAAAAGTGCGTGTGGAACTGCGTCGCCAGTTGGCAGCAGCGATTCCATTTGCGAAAACCAGTCCGTGTTGGAGAGGTAAATCTTAAATGACAGTAGCGTGTCATAACCCAGTCATGAAATTTTTGCAATTTGTGCGCGCAGTCCCGCTTCCTGATTTCATGCACCTTTGGTTGCAAGCTTTAGAAATAGAGGGTGAACAATTAGAGTGTAGCACGGGTGCCCAGTTGCAGCGAATTTAGCAGGGTGAAAAGGCGGGTGCACCGCACTCTCAATTGGCTTTGCGTTCTTTGTAAGCAGCAAAAGACACTCCAGCTTGAACAGTCCATCTATACTTTCAGTCCCAGACTCTCAATTGAACAGGTACAGCAGAGCAAGACACGGTCCATTAGCATGGGTGCGTTCTCAGAGCTGGAAACAAAACAGTGGAGCATCTGCTCAGTCTTCTGCTCTCAGCGCCACTAGGCCAGCGATGAACACAGCACTCCAGCAGCTTTCTCTGGTTTGGAGGACCAAGCTCTCGTCGTCAGGGTTCAAGGAATCTCAGCAAATCAGATTCGATTTTATCTCTGAAATATCCGTTGTAGTGGACTCCGACGCAGAGCTGGCTTCTGAGCCAAGACCCGAAGAAATACCTCCAATCCTAGATCCGCATCGGTGTTAATTTCCACCAATGGGGGCGTGTTCATCTTCTGTTACTAAGAAACTCGCTTTGAGACCGCATGTTTGGGTCCTTCCCCGGATTATTTTGTGAGAACACATCAAAGCAACATAGATTACAGCTGAAATTATATAAGATAAGTTAGACAAGAAGAGAACTGAAACACTGAAAGTTGTATCAATAAGAAGTACAGCAATAAAAACACAATAAAATAATAAAATAATAAAATAAAAACAAAAAAAATCTAAAGCCCAAGTTTACTAGCAAATGACAAATATTTCTCATTTAGTTCCTTGAATTCGTCCGTTAGTTTCGATAGTTCTTCCTCATCAATCTCATCTTCCATTTCATTTAACTTGTTTTTCTGGTAAACACTTTTCCCTTGTTTTGTTGGATAATTGTTCTCTTTCAACGATTTTAGCGCATCATTGTTCAATTTAATTGCTATTGTGTCATCGTACGATTTAAACAATGGGATTTTCGACACATCAATGATTTTGTTCCTTTGGCTATTACTATTATGCATCGATTTGGAATTGGTATTGATATTGATATTAAAATTTTGGAATATCCTGAAATATTCCTGCTCAAAATTGGGTTTATGTGATAGTGGTTTAATATATAAATTATTTCTTTTCTCCTTTTTACTTTTCTTACTTTCTCCTTTGCTCTTGCCTCCATTATATTTGCTATTGTTAGGATTGGAAATCTCTTTATAACTTTTTTTCAAATAATTAAAATAACTTATTGTTTTCTTTGAATTATTAACCAACACTGGTTCAAATCCATTCAATACCAATAATTCATTACTAGTTAAAAACTTTTTTCTATTGGCTTTTTTGTAATTATTTAAAAAATTATTATTGTAATTAAATTCTTCAACCTCATTAATATTCCTCTTTCTGCAATTATTATTATTATTATTATTATTATCCCAATCAACTTTTTTATCAAAAAATTTAATTAACTTATCTTTACTAATAATTGAATTTTTTTCAATCAAATTGTTTAAATATTCCTCAAACAATTTGTCATTATCATTGAAATGTAAATTAACATAATCTTTAAATAATCTTTCCTCATTTAAAATCATCTGGTTCAACTGTTTTTTAAGTAAATCAATATCCTTGTTCAAATTTTTAATTAAATTAGATTTCTTAATCGACTTCTTTTTCAATATAGAATTGGACGATATCAATTGAATCCGGCAAACTGTTAAAAAATTATTATTAATCGATTCATTTGAATCACTAACTTCAAGTGAATTAATAATCTTCAATTTTTTACTATCGAATGATAGCCCAAAGAGTCTCAAATAAAGTTCTAATAACTGATTTTCAATTGAATTCGAATCCAACTTTATCTTTAAACTATCATCACTATTATCAATATTGTCCATATCATTGAAAATTTTATAACTTTCTACTCCGTCTATCAATTCAATTTGAAAATAGTTGGATAAACAGCTACTAGATTCACATGAACAGTTTTTTTTACTCTTATTGATCTCACTAAAATTATTATCCGTATCTTTCTTAAACATCTCATTGGAATTACAATTATTCCCATGATGAATAATTGTATCATTTCGAAGTTCTAATTTTTTAATAAAACTTTTAAAATAATTCAAGTTTTTCTTAAAACAATTGGAACAGCTATAATGAAATTTCTTAATTGAATCACATTTTATTTTATTTTTACGACATCTTAAACATGATTTCAATTTTTTAAGATTAGAACTACTGTCATGAGAATTATACTGATTCAGCGATAAATCAGTTGACCTTAAATCAGCTTCGTTGGGAATTAGTCCTGTTAATAAATAAATAAGGTAGTTTAAATTTTTAAAATTCAATGATTCGTAATTTTTAATAATCAAGTTGATAATTGAGTTATAAAAGTAATTAATGCTTGATTTATCATTAACAGAATTTGAGTTTGAGTTTGCAGAACTTTCTAAAATAGAATTTAATTTTTGTTTAAAGAAAAGATGTTGCTCACTGCAATCAATAGAAGTATAATCAAATGAATCATTGTTATCACTCAAATCGTTCAATACAGTATTATCAGACAAGTTGGATATTATTTTAACAGTAGAGGATTTATCATTGGGATTGATTAATGTTTCAGAAAATTTTAATATTTTGTTAAACAATAATTGAGCCTCATTATTGTTATTATTATCAGTAGCAGTAGTAGCAGTAGAATTAGTAATAGTGGTAGTAGGGGTATTAGTATTTATATCAGTGATATTGTTAGTGTTATTTTTATTGTGAATTCCAAAGCTTGAAGTTTCATCATTATCACTTTTAATGACACCAAAGTTTTCTAAAACTAAAAAAATGAAAATTTTGTAGTAAAATAGTAAATCGATAGTTCTAATATATTCTTCTTTTTCCTTTTGAATGTTATCGTCATCATAATCATCATAATCATCGTTATTATTGGCATTCATAAGTTGTTTTTGTTCTTCAATTAGATTTTTTTGTTTAATTTTTTCGATTTCGATATTTTGTAGATATTGTTGAATTCTATAAATTAAGGGATTAACATAGTCTTGATCTGAGTTGGGATCAGGATTGGACTCAACATTTGAATTTGATTGAGGAATAGGATAATCAAAAGTTGAATTTTGGGAAACATTATTGGGATCAAGATTTGAGAAATTCAATTGATAATTTAAACTATTAATATTATTGTTATTATTTTGAGTATTCAATTTTTTGTAATCGTGATTTTCAAAGTTTTTAGTGCCATTATCATTAATAATTCCGTTATTATTAATATCATCAGTCAATTCAATTGAATTTTGGACAATTGCGAATTCTTTATCATTATTGCCATTCGTATTGCCATTCGTATTTTCATTAAAATTTTCGTTAACATTTTCATTAGTGTTTTCATTAAAGTTTTCATTAAAATTTTCATTAACGTCGTTATTATCGTTGTCGTTATTGTTGTCATTAGAGTTATTAGTGTTATTAGCAGGATCATTATAGGGCATATCAGTTGTAAAAGAAGAGTCTGTATTGAAAGTTGGAACAGAAGATATGGTTGATAATACAGAAGAATCTCTTGTCAAAGGGATTGAAAAATTATTTGAATTGATTTCTTTGTGATTGTGAATATGAATGTTGTTGTTATTATTATGGTTATTATTGAATTGGCTTTTAGTTATAAAATCTTCAGGACTTGGAAAAGAATTATTGTTGACATTATAGTTGAGGTCATAGTTGTTATCAGTAGTAGTGGTGGATGCAGTAATATTGTTTTGATTTTGGTTTTGATTTTGGTTTTGGTTTGGAAATTTGTTGAAATTGTTTGGAAAAGAATTTGAGTTTGACAAAGATAAGTAATTTTCAAGTAAAGAGAGATCATTTTTGATTAGGAATTTGTTTAAAAGAATATTGTTGACATTAACGTTAAGATTTTGTGAAGCCTTAGTTGGGCTATTGGAAGGATCATCATTTAAGTTGTTTAGATTGTTTGAAGAAATTTCGTTAAAATTGGCAATATTGCCGTTATTATTGTAATTAATGTTAACGTTAGTATTAATGTTTTTATTGTAATTGTTATAATTGTAATGATTTTTGTAGGAAGTGAAACTGTCATTTAAATTGATATCAATTGAAGTGGCAGTTGAGTTTAGACTTGGAACAGGAGAGTTGATTGAACAAGGAGAAGAAGAGGTGGATGGAGATGAAGACAGAGAGTAGCCATTTTTGACATTATGATTGTGGATATGGTTTATATGATTTGAGTTAAAGTGAGGTTGGTTATTTTTCTGAAAATTGGAATAAAATTGATTTTTTTTGTGTTTATTGGAATTATTATAGTTGCAGGAAAAATGGTGGTCATTATCATTAAGATTAATGTTAATATTATTGATATTATTTGGGAATATAGTCTTCATTTTTAAGAATTAGGATGTGAAAAAAAAAAGATGGTGTATAGTATAAGATGAAAAATTGGAATATTGATTGAAACTGGATAGAATAGATAAAAATCTAGAGATTTATAGATAAATATAGAAGTAGATTTGACAGTTTTTATAAAAAATAAAGCAGAATCAATTTCATTATATTATGTAATGTTATGGTGAGCCAATGTTGTATGAATTAGTAGCTGTCGTGAAAGTGAGTAAAAACAATAGAGCAGTATTATTGAGAGCAGTATTATTGAATATTATCAAAAATGTTTGTGAATATCCTTCAGTTGAAAAGTTGCAGAGAGAAGTTTGAAGATTCAATGGAGATACAAGCTGGTGTAGATTTGGATAATATTCCACTATAACCAATGGAGCAGATTAGGAAGAGAACAGTTGATATGGCAGAGGGAACTCTAAAAGAATAAGCAACAAGCTTGAGAATATTCCAATAACTGTGGTCTTGTTGGGGCCAATTTGATAGAAGCAAAGAGAGAGATATACTACAAAAGAGTCGCAAGAGAAGAAGAAGAAGATCAAAAACACTGGAAACTGAGTTATTATATTTCAAAATTGGATAGGAAAATTTTAGGTACAAGATCGAAGATTATCTTTTTGTCCAGATCCAATGCACTTCCTCTGGGGTGGATTCAAAGGAAGCCGAGTCCTGAAAAGACGTGCAGCTGGCTGCGTCCGCGCAGGATTCCGAGCGCTGCGGTTGCGTTTGCGCGGGGCCAGTTCTTTCGGTGGTGGCGGAAGAGAAGGAGAAGTAGCAGAAACAGTAAAAGCAGCAGCAGAGGAAGCACTCTCTGGTGTTGCTAATTCTTCGTCAGCTTGCCTTTTTATTGCAGTTCACAAACAGTGATTAATGCGTCACTCGTTCCACCAATCCCCGAAACCCGACGTTGCGTTCACTGTTTTCTTACTGTTTATTGATGACAAAATCTTTCGATCTTTTCGAGCACTTCGGATATTCCACTTTCATCTAGTTCTTCCTCAACAGGGTAACACTCCTATCAGCTATTATTTATGCTAACAGTTTTTCCTTTCGGCACTTCTACCATCAATGGAATCGCAAAAACGTTAATATATCATTGATATCCAGGTAGATATCGAGTAAATAGCCTTTTTTAGAGCCATTTTTGTTCCATTTCCATGGAATAACTGCCAACTGTCTGGAATCTAATGCACAACCAATGTTTGAAAACATCAATAATTACCCGTCGCCGGTGGAAACAGTTGTCTTGAGCTGTGCGATAAAAAGAGAGTTTTCGGCCTTTTCATTTACAGATAAAAACTGCAATTGAGCACTAATTAGATCCATCTGATTAGATTCGGTTTTTGATCATCACTACCCAATCTTCCTCATTCACCTTTATCTTTTCTCGTTTTTTTCAATCACTCAAATCATTTTCAATCCACGATGTTTTTTATTACCTCAGATCCGTCCACGTGCACCCTGGTGGTTGCTTTCCGCTCAATTCCATTTCGACAAAAGAGCGCACAAAATGAAAAATAAACAGAGTACCTAGTGCATGCAGGTTTCTGCATATCCTGTTTTGTGTTCAGCAAGTCCGCATAGCAAGGGTATATGCTTTTGTCCCATTTTTGCAGTGATAATCGAGACGCACTTTTCGCTTTCCTTTTTCGGACCCACTTTTATATCTTCGTTATATCAAATTCTTTACCATCTCAAAGAAACCCATCACAATCTGAGTTAATTTGCTTCTTTCGTGTTCAATTTCCCTTAAAGCACTGTACGACAAAAAATAAAATGCTTTGTTTATTTAGTAGAGAGTTTCCACTCCATCGTCCAAGTAGGGGCATCCCTTTTAAAGGGCAGTGTATCTCACTTCATGTCATCAATGCCATTAACAACATCAACGCCATTAATACCATTAATGCCATTACTGCTATTGCTGTTTTGTAAAAGCCTTCAATTCGTCTCTTATATTCATCTTCTAAAAATCAAAAATTGCAATAAAAAAACATTCTATTAATTAAAGTTTGTGGGAGCTTTTGCTCTCCAGATTATTATTGTGGCATTCTGTTACACCATCATATCAATATCTTAATACTTTTGTCTCGTTGAATAATCTTTGGGACTTAAAACTAATCCTTTCCCTTTTCTTGCCCCTCTATAAATCGTCTCAATAATATCTATCATTTCTTCTTCATCCTCTAAAACAAAATTCAATTTGTTGTTATTTCCTGTCCCAAAATCACACATCATATGCTTATTTCGAAAAAAAAACATAACTGTCATCGGATCATACAACTCATACATCTCATTAAAATCTTTGACTTCATCAATATCACACAAATAAATAACTGCAAACTTCTTGATCTTCTCCGCTATGTTATAAAATATCTCATCCATTAGTCTACAATCTTTATCCACATCTCTTCCAAATCTTATAACTACTAGTCTTTCGTCTTCTGATAAGATGGCTTGATCAACATGCCTATGTATATTAATTTCAATTTTACATAATCCGTAATGTTAGAATCTAATTTCTCGTCTCGTCTCTCACATCCTTTTGGACATTTCAAATCAAAACTTACCATCCCGAATGCAAATGTGGCAAAAATATACTTCCCATTACAATCTTTAAGCTTATTGGTGATAAAATGTTAAACAATGCTGTTCCTTCCTCAAGCCTTTCACCAAAACTGTAACGCTGGTTTTCTCGGAGGGTAACCTATCTATCCTCTAGTAAACCTAAATTTGGGAATATCATCATCTTCTTCATCCGAAATTTTATCCTGAGGTTCAACATACTTTGTCCTTCCAATTCTTTCTTGAAGCCTACTTCCATTTTTACCACCCTTTTTACCACCCTTTTTATTGAACATCTTAGTCATCGCTGGATTTTTCTGGCTTAGCTTCGACCGAGTGATTTGAATACGGTTATTGACATTTTTACTTTCTTCTTCAGATTCTGAATCGCCTACAAACAAATTGCTTGCATTTGCATTTCTTGTTTGTTCTTCAATATTCACATTGCTGTCTTCAATCGTTTCCTTTAGAATTTCACTTATATTTGAAACTTTTCCAGAAAAGAATTCATTGTCTTCTTCTTTATCTTCAATATTATTTTCATACTCTTTCAAATCAATATATGACCTAAAAAGAGAAGAATTAAACGAATTACTCTTTGATACAATTTTCCCATTTTCACCAATCTTTTTGTCTTTTCTTCGTTTCACAAATCTTTTAAAATTCCTTCTCTCTTTCCACTTTTCATTTTCATTTTCAAAGCCGCCCGCTTTATTAAATTTATTAGATCCCATTTGTTTCACTTCAAACTCCTCTATTAAAACCATTTTTTTCACTTCTTCAATGATTTTAGAATCAATAACTTTATTTATACGATCTTGGTTTGCTTCTATTCTTTTCTGCTCTTTATTTTTGGCATCTTTAATTATCTCTTTTATATTCACTGCTTTCTTTTTTTCCTTAAATTGTACAAAGCCTTTATCATCATCATCATCATCATCATCAATTTTCGTTTTTTTTGCTTTCGGAAAATCTTCATTGTTTTTGGCCTGTGCTTTTTCACTCATTTTCCTTTTATTACCAACTCTTTCTTGATTATTATCGCCTTGGTCTTGTTCTTTAATAATTGCAGGAGTTTGTTGTTTTTCAGATTTTGTTATGTTTAAACTTCTGTCACTATAATCAATTTTATCTTCTCTGCTCATTTTTTTCTTTTTAATAGGAGAATCTTCAATTGCCGATTCATTATCTGATATTACTATTTGTTGAGTGGGTGATGGAGCATTTTTAATCAATGGATTAGATAATCTTTTCACTTTATTAGCTCTTCTTTTAAGCTTCCTTGTGCCAATTGATTTAATATCTTCTATCACATTTTTATTATTTTCTGATATGTTTTCTGATTTAATTTCTTCATCAATAACCTCCATTTGCACATTATTCTCTTCATCATTCATATTTACTAACGAGAAATTGTCAGTTCCTGTTTCTGGAACATCCTCGAGAAAAGAAGGCCTGGACATACTATTAAAGACATCCATAACGTTTTGTCTTTTAATAGTTCTATTTCTTGTTAATTTCCTCCTTTTTAATCGATTTTTAGGATAAACTTCTTCAATTGTTGGAGAACTTATTTTCCTATCTATTTTCAGTCCATTGGTTATATCTGCTGAATTATTTTCAGAAATAGATCTAAACTCCAGGTCTATATCTGAGGGTTTTGAAGGTTTCAAATTTAATAATATAGATAAATCCACATTTTTAATAGAATTGAGTAAATCTAAATTTTCTACTACAGAAATATTAAGGTATCGAGCAATTTCTAATTGCAACTGAGGTATTAGATTAAAACCAATCTTACTGCTATTGTTCTCAATATCATTTATAGAAATACTATGATTAGAGTTTTTTGGCACCTTTAGTAGTATTAAATTGACTTTCTCATCTTTATCTATATTTTCACTCCCACTAATACATTCATCCACAGCATTAGTAAACAGATTGAATATTGATTTGGTGTCATTCTTTGATGATGATAAATGGGGAGACAAATCAAAATATAAACAATTTCCAGAAGCCAATTGAATTGGAACTTTCAAATAATCAAAATGATTCAAATTGTTAAAAATAAAAACCGTATTTTTAAATAGCACCTTTCTAGCTTGATCAACGCCATACAATGGATCGTCTAGAAACTTTTTATAATTTGGAAAGAACTCATTATAATCAAACTCCAATAAATTTAAATTGTATGGATTCATGCAATAGTTAAACACTTTAAAATTCTTCTTATCATTGAATAATTTATTCTGCAAATCCGGAACATCAGAAATTTTTGTGCTTATAGCATTTTTAATACTTGTAATAAAATCAAAATTGACAATTGGGGTTTGATTTATTAAAGATATAATTAATTTAGAAGAGTATTTCAAAGATTTTAAGGTATAAGTTGTCGAACTTAAAAATTGAGTAGTATAGTGAATATTTGTGTTTTCTAAGCTTTCATCTAAATTTAGCTTCTCACTGTTATCATCAGCTGAATAAGAGATTAAAATTGGATTCCAAACAATTTCAAAAGTGAAGTTTGAATTGGTTTTTTTATGATGAATGGTAATTGGTATTGTATTGTCTTTGGCCAAATTTCTTCCATTATAAATCAAGGAAGATGGACTATCTTGACTTCCATTTGAAAATATCTGTTTCTTGCTCACAAAGGTAGCTGCCTTTCCATACAACACCAAATGGAGATCAGGAATCACCTCAGGATTTTTATGATTGAACGAATTATCGACTTTGATTGTAAAATGGTGTTTGGAGATATACTTCTGACTCAAATACACATCAGATGTTCTGTCTCTTCCAATTGAATAAGGCTTGTTGGGCATCAACCATCTTGTCACATACTCCACTCCACTGTTTTCATCAGGCAACCTAATCAACCACATAATACCACCAACTCCAGCAAATCCTCTTATAACCTCTCTTCTTCAACACCATCAAAGAAATCTCACATCGTCCAAAGCTGGAAACCACTCTGTTGGTCTCGGGTATTTATCACCCTCGGAACTGGAAGTGCACGTGAGCTTTGGAAAACTGAAAAATATTTTTTTTTTTGAATTTGATAAATAAATCTAAAAAATGGTTTCTATCTCCATTGAAATCGATTGTTAAAGATGACAGATGCTGATATAGAGTCGAAAAAGAGGAAAATTAAAGACATCGAAGAGATAAGAAACATTGAACTAAGCAATCTGGAAAACACTAAAAAAATCAAAACACAGGATGCAGTTCTCATCACCGATTCTATCCCAAGAAGACCCATCGAGACTCCTGCTAAAGAGTATCCATTTGAATTAGATACTTTTCAAAAAGATGCAATTTTTTGCATTGAAGCTGAAGAATCTGTTTTAGTTTCTGCTCACACATCTGCTGGTAAAACAGTTGTTGCTGAGTATGCTATTGCAAAATCTTTGAGAGAAAAACAAAGAGTAATTTATACTTCTCCCATCAAGGCTTTATCCAATCAAAAATATAGAGAATTGGCAGCTGAATTTGGCGATGTTGGATTGATGACTGGTGATGTTACTATAAACCCTGATGCTGGCTGTCTTGTGATGACAACAGAAATTTTAAGATCAATGCTTTATAGAGGTTCCGAAGTTATGAGAGAAGTCGCATGGGTGATATTTGATGAAGTGCATTATATGAGAGACAAATCGAGGGGTGTTGTTTGGGAAGAAACTATTATATTGCTTCCAGACAAAGTCCATTATGTTTTTTTATCTGCTACTATACCAAATGCTAAAGAATTCACCAGATGGATTGGTAAGATCCACAATCAACCATGTCATGTTGTTTATACCGATTACAGACCAACACCATTACAACATTATCTATTTCCTGCTGGTGGTGACGGTATCCATTTAGTGGTAGATGAAAAAGGAGCATTTAGAGAAGAAAATTTTCAAAAAGCAATGGCCTCAATTAGTGAAAAGTTAGGTGATGATCCTGGTTCTGCTCAAAATTCTGGTAAGGGCAAAAAGGGAAAAACTTTTAAAGGTGGAATACTAGATAGCAAAGCCGATATTTATAAGATTGTTAAAATGATTTGGATAAAAAAATATAACCCAGTTATTGTTTTCTCATTTTCAAAAAGAGATTGCGAATCATTGGCTTTAAAGATGTCTAAATTGAACTTTAATTCAGATGAAGAAAATGAAACATTAACCAAAATTTTCAATAATGCAGTTGACGTTCTTCCTGAAGGTGATAGAGAATTGCCTCAGATAAAAAATATTTTGCCCTTGCTTAGAAGAGGTATAGGAATACATCATTCTGGTTTGTTACCAATTTTGAAGGAAATTATTGAAATTCTATTTCAAGAAGGTTTAGTCAAAGTTTTATTTGCCACTGAGACATTTTCAATTGGTCTTAATATGCCTGCAAAAACTGTTGTTTTTACCTCTGTTCGTAAGTGGGATGGTAAAGGGTTCAGATGGGTATCTGGAGGTGAATATATTCAAATGTCTGGTAGAGCCGGTCGTCGTGGTATAGATGATAGAGGTATTGTGATCATGATGATAGATGAAAAAATGGAGCCGCAGATTGCCAAAGGAATGGTAAAAGGTGTGGCTGATAGATTAGACTCTGCTTTCCATTTGGGATATAATATGATTTTAAATCTTATGAGAGTTGAGGGAATTTCTCCCGAGTTTATGTTAGAACGTTCATTTTATCAATTTCAAAATTCTTCTACAATTCCTTTATTGGAAAATAAGTTATATCTGCTTGAAGAAAATCATAAGAACATAGTTATTGAGGATGAGCAAAATATTAAAGAATACTATAACCTTAGGAAGCAAACTGAAATATATAATCAAGATGTTAGAGAGGTCATTACTCATCCATCACATTCATTAACATTTCTTCAAGATGGAAGATTAGTTGAAGTCAAGGTCAATGACGATTACTATGGCTGGGGTGTTGTTGTTAAATTTAATAAAAGAAGCAACAAAAGGAGACCAAATGAACAACAGTATGCTGATCATGAGGCCTATATTGTTGAAGTACTTGTAACAACCATGTTTATTGATTCTCCAACAAATTTGATTAAAATGTTTTCTCCAGATCTTGCAATTGGTATCAGACCTGCAAAAGAAGGTGAATTATCCAAAAGCGTAGTTATTCCTATTACTTTAAAATCAATAGTTAATATGGGAAATTTAAGATTACGTATGCCACAATCAATGGATAGGTTACAAAGACTGAGCACAGGGAAAAACATTGCAGAAGTGCAAAGAAGGTTTAAGGATGGAATTCCGTTATTAGATCCTATTAAAAATATGAAAATCATTGATGATTCATTTTTAAAATTAATCAAAAAAATAGAAGTGTTAGAAAGCAGAATAAGTTCCAGCCCATTAAGCAAATCAGATAAACTAAAAGAGTTATATGAGACATACTCCGAAAAAATTGCAATTGAAAAGCAAATCAAAGAAGTAAAGGGTAAAATATCTGATGCAAATGCAATTATTCAATTGGATGATTTGAAAAACCGTAAAAGAGTTTTAAGAAGGTTAGGTTTTTGCACTCAAGATGATATTATTGAGTTGAAAGGAAGGGTTGCATGTGAAATTTCGACGGGGGATGAATTACTTTTAACTGAGTTAATTTTTAATGGTACATTTAATGAACTATCCCCCGAGCAATGTGCTGCATTACTATCATGCTTTGTGTTTCAAGAAAGATCAAAAGAAATGCCTAGACTCAAGCCCGAATTAGCAGAGCCATTGAAAGAGATGCAAGAAATGGCTACAAAAATTGCAAAAATTTATAGAGATTCAAAAATTGAAATTGCATTATCCGATTACGTTGAATCATTTAGACCAGAATTAATGGAAGTTGTTTATGTTTGGTGTAAAGGAGCTTCATTTACACAAATTTGTAAAATGACAGACATCTATGAAGGCAGTTTAATTAGGATGTTTAAAAGGTTGGAGGAAATGATTAAACAAATGGTTGATGCAGCCAAAACCATTGGTAATAGTGCACTAGAAGAAAAAATGGAAAAAGCTGCAGAATTGGTTCATAGAGATATTGTTTCGGCTGGTTCATTATATTTAAGTTAGACTTGGATAACAAAATAGTATTTCTTTTTATTTGTATTATTTAGTTCAGTAAAGCATAGTATAATATCATAAAAATTATCAAAATTATATATGTATTATAGTTAATCATTTTCGTTATTATCAATGTTGTCTAAATAAAAGAAAAATTGGATTCAGGCTATAAACGAATTATATTATATAATTTGTTAAAAAATTCATTATAGTTCAGTAACAGTTGCACCATCATAAGCTGGCTCCAACAATTTCCAGGTGCAAGTGATACCATTTTTTTTGAATCTATTAATAATTTCATCAGCGATCTCACTGTAATTCTCAGTGACTAAAGCTAAGATGGTGGGCCCGGCTCCACTTAAACATATACCCAACAAGCCTGGGTTAGTGTTTGGGCTCATGCTATTCAAGATTTCAGATAAGCCAGGAACCAACGTTTTTCTATAAGGTTGGTGTATTCTATCTTGCATTGAAGAATAGATCAATTCTGGATTTGGTGGGTCCAAAGTGATAGCAGTGGTTAAAACAGCAATTCTTTGCAAATTAAAGACTAGATCTTTTCTTGTGTAAGCACTTGGTAGGACATCTCTCGAGGTGGCAGTTGATAATTCAAAGTTAGGAATGATAGTTAAAAACTTGATTTTTTTGTTCAAGTTGTATTTAATATGGTGGCCGATTTCAAAAGGAGGAATTGGAGGAACTAGACCAGTATCTTCACCACCAGCTGGTTGAGGCAACACTTCAGCTAGGGGGATTTCTTTTCGCTCTAGTTCAGTGGCAGATAGCTCTCTCAAATACGAACCAACAAAACCCCCCATCATTGCAGCAGTAATATTGTCAGGATGCCTTTCTATCATCAAACAGAAATCCAAACATCTTGATCTGGATAAGTTGAACTTACCAATTTCATTAGCTAGAAGGGCACCAGCCACAACTGCTGCTCCAGAAGAACCAAGGCCTCTGCCTAGTGGTATTGGGTTGCTGACGTGAATAAAGGTTCCAGCTGGAAACTCTCTGATATTATGGCAACGCAAGACATAGAGAGCAGTTCTGGTGATCAAGTTTTCATCAGAATCCAAGGGCACATCTTCAGCACCTTCACCTTCATAAGTAATCAAACAATTGTGGACGTCAAAGTTGAGGGATTTGTCTTTAATAGCAGAAGAATCAACAGTAACGTTTAAGACAAGAAAAAGGTTAAGACCAATACCCAAAACATCAAAACCAGGGCCGATATTAGCTGATGAAGCTGGAACTTTTATTTCAAATTTTCTAGAATGCATTTCTATTGGTTAATGAAAAAAAAATGGATGAAAGACAAAAAAATACTAAAAACAAAATAAACAGAATATGGGCAAAAATTTTGAATAAAAGGTTGATTATATATAATATTTTTTGAATAAAAACTTGTATCCAGTAGAACTTTATTTTCTCTTGTTTTTTTTTCAAAAAATATTATTAAATAGAATTAATAGTAAATCTGTTGATTCAATGAGCTTTGGAAAAATGACTAATACTGTTCTAGGATTAAACCGACTTTCGATGTTTTCAACGGTTTGGCATCTTCAACTTTTCGATATTTCAAAAAATCAAAGTTTCTCGGTGAATCCGAATAGTTCACATTCGACTGTCATTACGAAAACTTTTTCTCGATAACATTTCGTAACTTTCTGAAAAAATCTAAAGTGTGATTATCTCCGCGATATCTGTTTCTATTTCCTTTGTAATTCAACTGGAATCAGAATCTATGATGTTTCCTAATTGGGATATATATTTTTTTTTCTAAAAACTTCTTTCAAATTCTGATGAACAGATCAAAAAATCAAAAATATGTTCAATTTCTAGATTATTATACAAATCATCATATTTGCAACTACAACAATTCATAGCTATAAATCATTATGAGTTCCTGATAACTCTCGATTAAATCCGTTTTTTATCAAAAAATCCAAAGCTTTCCTTGGTTTCTTAAAAAATACAGATTCATCTTGCTGTGGTAAAGAAGTCTTGAAAAAACTTTTATCTATTATTTAAAATACAAATGATAATAAAAATCCAATATATAAACCATTCATATCCTGGTCTGTTGATTGGTATATTTTACCCTCAAATCTATTAGTACTTTGTGATAAATTAAAAAGTGCCTTTTAACATATCACTGCTTCTCATTCACGTTATAGTAAATACCAAATTGCTATTATGGAAGCTAGTTCTCCTAAGATTATTAATGCAGTCTTTTCAAATCTACCCTATGATAAACTTTGGTTGTTCACATTGTCAGATAATGAGGTTTTAAGACAAAGTGCTTTGAAACATTTGTTTAATAAGGTTACAATAACCAATAAAAAAAATAACAGAAACCGCAATTCATATAAATTTGTGTTGAATTTGGAAAATTTTGATAGAATTAATAATCAATATTTTGACTCAATTGAACATCTATTGCTTGATATTCAAACTGGTTTTAGACTGGGTGTATTATATTATTCCCAATTAAGAAATATATTATATTTAACAAGCAATTTGAAAACTTGTTTATTATATATAAATTCTGATATTGCTGATCAAAGAAAATTTTTCATTGCTATTAATTTTTTTAAGATTTTGATTATTTTCAATTCAAACACCATTAAGTCTTTTATCTATTCATTCAGAAACGGAATGGAGTATCGCAAAAATCCTACTAGTTATAGTCAGAACAATTTTTTAAGTCTCGTACCTAAGTTCATGAAGTTTGATCAAACATTTTCAATTGATGAATTAAAAACCTCAAATACCATTGATAATTTAGATTTTTCTAGTTTATCCTTCAACACTAATCTTTCATTTTTTAATTCATTTTTATTATACAATGTATCTTCAAAATACCAAAATCTTAATAGATTTCCAAATTTAACTAAGTTTAGTGGTTTGCTGATTCTAAAACTTTTAGATCTATCTCACAATCAAATTCTGAAAATCGATTTACCATCATTGCTTAATCTTACTCACTTGAATTTAAGTTGCAATAAAATCCCAAAAATTCCAGATTTATCGCCATTTTTTGATTTAAAAGTTTTAAACTTATCTAATAATAAAATCAAAAAAATTTCTGGTTTAACTGAATTATATCACTTACAAGCTTTGAGTTTGTCAGATAATAGGATTTTCAAAACACAAAACTTGCATTATTTATTCAGATTAAAATCATTAAATCTTTCATATAACAAGATCAAAACAATTGAAGGGTTAGATGATATAGAGACCTTGAAAATATTCAATCTCTCATTCAATAGTATCACTAAAGTTGCTGGTCTATCAGTTTTATGTTCCATAGAAAAACTGGATCTTAAAGGCAATTTTATCAACAGTTTATCGGACCTTCCAGCCTCAAATTATTTAATTAATGTAAACTTATCGAGAAATAGAATCACTGGTACTGCTGCTTTATCAGATTTGCATGGTGTAAGAATTCTAAACTTATCAAATAACAATCTTTTGAAATTTGATAATATATCTAACTTAACTGAATTAGAGCAGTTAGATATATCATTCAACCTTGCAATAGGATTGAATGATATATCAATGCTAGTAAAATTACATACATTGAAAGTGAGATCAACCTCTATTAGATATATTCAACACATACCACCTTTTAGCAGATTGAGACTAAAATAAATGTTTTGGTGAAGGATAAAGTTTATCTGCTTTGATAATTGTTTACGGATTGTATAATTGTTTACGGATTGTATAATTATGGTGTTGAAATAGTTTATCATTTTATTGTGTTTTTTGTTTTCATTTATTATTTCATTTTTATTACTTCATTTGCAAATTTAATAGCTTTATTGTCTATATATTTTATATTTTTCACAGTTCGCAAGCTGTTACATATTCTCTCCACAGTTTTTTAGCTATTTTATTTAATCCAAAAACAAATAAATATCAAAGACTTACGCTGCATGTGTGCAACTATGACAATGTTGGACCACAACATCAATTCATATTTGACAGCCAGTTTCCAGCATTTTTCATTCCCGATACATATAAAAGTCCAATGTTAAAGATTTCACAACAATAATAAGCAATAGAGTTAGTAAAAACTACCAAATTTAAAAGCAGCAAAACAGAAAGAGCAAAAATAAAACAGAAACAGATTTCGTGATCGTAGTAGTCTGTGATCGTAATAGTTTTCGTAATTATCTCCGCAATGTTGTTTTATTTTCTCTATGATTCAGTAACTGTCTTGATTGAGATGCATCTGTAGCTCAATTCGCTGTTTGAAATAAACACACTGCCAGAAACAAGTTTGGTCGTAATCATCGCACCAAACAGCACTCCAAACAGCACTCCAAACAGCACTCCAAACAGCACTCCAAACAGCACACAGAGACAAATCAGTATATTTGGTGCTCTTCTAATGAGAAACCGCTGTGTTTGAGCAAACGAAGCCGTCTTTGTGGGTGGCGTGACCCGAGCCCTACTTCTGCTAGGGCTCTTTCGTGGAGAGATTTATTTGTTTACTTCTTTGGGATGGAGCTGGAAGACGAAACACACTGAAAAATGACTGTTGGAGCTGATGGAAGTGGTGGCGATGGTGCTGGTGGCAATGGTGCTGGTGATAGCTTTGGTTCGAGTGGCTTGTCTTCTGGCCTTGACTACTGCGAGTTCTCAAACGCTAAGTTAAACTACATCAAGAGTCTCAACACACTAATCAAAGACATTGTAAACAATGAAAGCTTGACAGAAAAAAATGCAGACAACGAGATGATCGTGGAAAACATAAAGAACATCGAGGACAACATCAAGGATTACTACGACAAGTTGATCAAAGAGCCTAGGTACTTGGTGCAGATCATAAACCAGCTCAATGAGTTTTTCTCCAACTTGAAGTTCACATACTTGGAACAGTATACCAAGGACAAGTTTCTAAGCTACATCTTTGACTCCAAGTTTATTACGATAGAGGATTTGAACAACAAAGTGATTGAAATTGGAAAGTTCAAAGAGGTGTTGAACGAGAAAAAAAGTAAGAGAGACGATTTGTTCGTGGAGATAAATCAGATTCTCAGAAAAACCGACACAAAATATAAAGAGATCAACCAAACTAGCCAGTCGAATAAAAATTTGAGTGCGCAGAATGACAAGTTGTTGCTACAGATAGATGTGGTATCTAAAAAGTTACACACAATACACAGCAACGGTGGTGATGGAAACCATGATAACAGACAGATCTTTAAAAGAAGATTGGATGAGTTTGACGATTATTCTAATGAGGTGTCGAAGCATTTGACTAGTTTATTGGATGAAAAGAAATACAGTGAAGGCAACATAAATCATTTGGATATTATCAAAAATCTAGACTACACCAATACGAACAACGACATGAACGAATTCTTGGTGCTAAACTCCAAGCCCATTTTGAACCGAATCATCAAAAAGAGAAAGATGATGAATAGCGACTTGGAGCTCAAGTACAGCAACCAATACTTGAATAGCTACAACCAGCTACATACATCATTGTCAAACTTAAACAGCATCGAAAAAAAATTGCTAGTTAGAAAGAAAANTTTAATCGACTCCATAGATCAATCAAACAATCAACAGTTGAAAAATAAACAAAAACACGATAGTAACAAGATGATAATAAATGACAAAAACAGAGAAATCTTGTCTCAATACCTCTCAAGCGAGTTAAATCTAATGAAAATTCTTTGCAACAACCCAAACTAATATACTATATCCCATGAACA